ATCACTGGGACAAGTATCATAAACTTAATCTCTCTCCTAATGGTGATGGTTGTTTTAGTAAAAATTAATGGAGAAGAAATCACTACATTTCCAAAAGTATTGAACACTCAAATCACTGGATTCAGGATTCAATCACCTCCATGGTCACAGTTGTATAAAATCAAGCACCTCATGCAGACTGCTTCTACAAACATTTGTGAAAGAATGGATCACTCTCAGGTAGCCAGTGAATTCAAGCGTGGTACTGTGATAGATTGTGAGTAAATAACCTGCGCAGAGGACTAATCAATTTAGACTGACTTTTGCTAGCAAAATAAAAAAATGTGTACCGGTGAACAAATGCGTGAGTGCAAACATAAAAATTGCTGCGCTGCTTCTCTAAAAAACTACTTTAAATAATTAAATGAATGAACTCCCTTGAGTCCCACAAATGTGTGCATGTGCTATAATGCCCCTTGGGTTGACAATTATATCCCACCTCCCCAGTGACTAAATGCTAAATAAACCAATAAGTAAGGACAAGGTGCTTAAATGGCAATAAAAATCACATAAAGCCATAAACTGTGTATACAGTGAAATTGTATAAATATATATATGTGTGTATGTCCCAATAATGTGCAAACATATAAAATTTCCAAAACAATTGTAGGTTCCCCCAAAGAAACCCCCATTCATTATCTGGTGTGAATATTAAGTGATACAGTAATAAATCTTCTTATCCATAGCAATTCTCTGTGTGTAGTGCTCCCCCTCCAGAGCCCCACTCACCACAGATAATTGACCACCTGGAATGGTAGGTCAAATATCGCATAAGATGTTGCAGCGCTCTCCTGCAGGAAAGTTTGCCGTTCTGTGTGGTCTTGACACCTCTATATGGTGATGACAAACTCCATAGTAGAAACACCTCTAAATCAATCGTTTGCTACAAAGCTCCTCCAGAATCTCCACAGTACTCCTTCACCACCATAAAACATCAAAGGAAAATTTCCATAGCGTAACACCGTATTTATTAGGTAAAAAACATTTAAAATTGCACTTGCATAAATACCATGTGTATGGAACTTTAAATCCCAGCAAAAAGCAATTCCTTCTCAGAGGACAAGTTGTCATTCCTGATGACATCATACAGCGAAACATGTAGGGCGGGCTTGATAGTGCTACACTTGTCCTCCTGAGAAGGAATTTTTAGCACTATTGTCGTTTAAGCACATTGTATTTACTTATTGGTTTATTTAGGATTTAGTCACTGAGGAGGAGGGATATAATTGCCAGTCCACAGGGCATTATAGCACATGCACATTTGTGGGGACTCTTTGTGTAGTTGGGTGTTCATTCATTTATAATTTAAAGTAGTTTTTTTTGGGAGAGGCAGCGCAGTAATTTTTATGTTTGCACTGTGATAGAGTGCCACCTGTGCAATAAGTCCATCTGTGAAATTTCCTTGCTACTAAATATTTCACGGTCAACTGTTAATGGTATTATAACAAAGTGGAAGCAACTAGGAACAGCAGCAACTCAGCCACAAAGTGGTAGGCCATGTAAAATGACAGAGCGGGGTCACCAACTGTTTGCAGAGTCAATGGCTAAAGCCCTCCAAACTTCGTGTGGCCTTTAGATTAGCACAAACGTGCGAAGAGAGCTTCATGGAATGGGTTTCCATGGCTGAGCAGCTTCATCCAAGCCTTACATCACCAATGCCACCACAATGCAAAGTGTTGGATGCAGTGGTGTAAAGCACGCCACCACTGAACTCTAGAGTAGTGGAGATCCGTTCTCTGGAGTGCTGATTCACGCCTCTCTGGCTGGAAATCTGATGTACGTATCTGGGTTTGACGGTTGCCAGGAAAACGGTACTTGCCTGACTGCATTGTGCTAAGTGTAAACTTTGGTGGAGGGGGATTATGGTGTGAGGTTGTTTTTTCAAAGGTTGGGCTTGGCCCCTTATTTCCAGTGAAGGGAACTCCCAAGGCTTCAGCATACCAAGATATTTTGGACAATTTCATGCTCCCAACTTTGTGGGAAGAGTTTGGGGATGGCCCCTTCCTGTTCCAACATGACTGCTCACCAGTGCACAAAGCAAGTTCCATAAAGACATGGATGAGCGAGTTTGGGGCAGAGGAACTTGACTGGCCTGCACAGAGTCCTGAGCTCAACCCGACAGAACACTTTGGGATGAATTAGAACAGAGACTATGAGCCAGGCCTTTTCATCCAAAATCAGTGTCTGACCTCACAAATGTGCTTCTGGACGAATGGTCAAACATTCCCACTGACACATTCCTAAACCTTGTGGACAGCCTTCCCAGAAGAGTTGAAGCCGTTATAGCTGCAAAGGGTGAACCCTATGGACCAAGAATGGGATGCCATTAAAATGTGTAAAGGCAGGCGTCCCAATACTTTTGGCAATATAATGTACGATCACTACAACCGATGCTCTAGTGTGGAAGACCTACATCTCATAAGTGTGTTTTGTACATCAAAATGTAACTAAGCACCTTTTTAAACTTGATTCACTCAATGACTAATGTTAACATCCCCAAAAATACTAGGACGGAACTTTTCAGTGAATTGTTGAGTGACTTCTTCAAACACTCTCAGCCCCTTATATATATATATATATTTTTTTTTATCCTTTTGGAAGCGAAAGTATCTATTGCTAAAGCCTGGAAAACCCCAACGATTGACCTTGTTGTGACCAAGAACAAAATTTCTTGTATAGTGCTCCATGAAAATCTGGCCAGTATTTTAAAGGAAAATCAAACCAGTTTTAAAAAAAGAGCTGTGGGTGGAGCAACTCCTTTCTTCTTTTCTACACCTTCCTTGTCTTTTGTTTCCTCTTTTACTCTTCATATGCATTACTGGCAGGTCCTTTTAAAATATTCTGTTGGACCATTGGTTGGCCCTTGTGGGCACTGATTTCCCACATGCTGTTCAGCAGACTGCACATTAACAGGTGCTAATTTAGTTCACCTTTTCGCTATGTCTTGGGAGGGTGGTCTGAAAGTGTTTTGTCTTCCCCTGTGAGTGAACGCACGGGATATCGCTTGTGTTGCTGTGTCTCAATGGTATTGAAATTAGGGTTTCCCCTATGATTAAAATTGCCTTTAGATATGACCAATGTAATCTAATCTTGGTTGTCAAATCTGGTCATTTCTGCACTAGTACCTGCCTTTTTTATTTTGCCTTAAAACTTTAATACAAATATTGGAACAGAATATACAGGTGAAACTCGAAAAATTAGAATATCGTGCAAAAGTTCATTTATTTCAGTAAAGCAACTTAAAAGGTGAAACTAATATAAGACTCATTACATGCAAAGCAAGATAGTTCAAGCCGTGATTTGTCATGATTGTGATGATTATGGTTTACAGCTCATGAAAACCCCAAATCCACAATCTCAGAAAATTAGAATATTACATGCAATCAATAAAACAAGGATTGTACATAGAACAACATCGGACCTCGGAAAAGTATAAGCATGCATATGTACTCAGTACGTGGTTTGGGCCCCTTTTGCAGCAATTACTGCCTCAATGTGGTGTGGCATGGAAGCTATCAGCCTGTGGCACTGCTGAGGTGTTATGGAAGATCAGGATGCTTCAATAGCAGTCTTCAGCTCTTCTGCATTGTTCGGTCTTGTGTCTCATCTTTCTCTTGGCAATGCCTCATAGATTCTCTATGGGGTTCAGGTCAGGCGAGTTTGCTGGCCAATCAAGCACAGTAATCCCACAGTCATTGACCTACGTTTTGGTGATTTTGGCAGTGTGGGGAGGTGCCAAGTCCTGCTGGAAAATGAAGTCCGCATCCCCATAAAGCTAGTCTGTGGAAGGAAGCATGAAGTGCTCCAAAATCTCCTGGTAAACTGCTGCGTTGACCCTGGACTTAATTAAGCACAGTGGACCAACACCAGCAGATGACATGGCTCCCCAAATCAACACAGACTGTGGAAACATCACAATGGACTTCAAGCATCTTGCAGTGTGTGCCTCTCCATTCTTCCTCCATACTCTGGGTCCTTGGTTTCCAAATGAGATGCAAAAGTTGCTCTCATCAGAAAAGAGGACTTTGGACTACTGAGCAACAGACCAGGTCTGTTTTGCTTTAGCCCAGGTAAGACGCTTCTGATTGTTGTTTGTTGTTCAGGAGCGGCTTGACAAGAGGAATACGACATTTGAAGCCCATGTCCAGGATCCGCCTGTGTGTGGTGGCTCTTGATGCACTGACTCCAGCCGCAGTCCACTCCTTGTGAAAGTCCCCAACACTTTTGAATGGCCTTTTCCTGACAATCCTCTCTAGGCTGCGGTCATCCCTGTTGCTTGTGCACCTTTTTCTTCCACACGTTTCCCTTCCACATAACTTTCTATTAATGTGCTTTGATACAGCACTTTGGGAACATCCAACTTCTTTTGCAATTACCTTTTGAGGCTTTCCCTCCTTATGGAGGGTGTCAATGATGGTTTTCTGTAGAACTGTCAGGTCAGCAGTCTTTCCCATGATTGTGATTCCTACTGAACCAGCCTGAGAGACATTTAAAGGCTCAGGAAACCTTTGCAGGCCGTTACCTGAACCGTTATGGCTTAATTAGCTGATTAGAGTGGGACACTTTGAGCCTAGAATATTGTGCCTTTTCACATTATTCAAATTTTCTGAGATTGTGGATTTGGGGTTTTCATGAGCTGTAAGCCATAATCATCACAATTATGACAAATCACGGCTTGAACTATCTTGCTTTGCATGTAATGAATCTATCTCATATATTAGTTTCACCTTTTAAGTTGCATTACTGAAATAAATGAACTTTTGCACGATATTCTAATTTTTTGAGTTTCACCTGTATAACTAAACATTCCTAGTAGTATTTTGTCCGTCAAACCTGAATAAGGGTTTACAAATTAAACTTACATAAACTACATGGATGATCGTGAAGTTAAAGTAGAAGAGATGTAAAGTGTAGGTGTGTAGTTTACAGTGATGTTGAATTGATTTTGTATATAATTACAGACCCTGATGAATTTGAACAGATATATGAGCCACTGGATGTGAAAAGCAAGAAAATCCATATTGTAGATAGTGGATTGACATTCAATCTGCCATACCCTCTTATCCTAAGACCTCAACGGGGAGTGGATTTGATCATCTCCTTTGATTTTTCTGCAAGGCCAAGTGATTCAAGTCCCCCATTCAAGGTAAAAAATATTATCTTGATAAAAATATACTGCAAGTATAGTCTGCCTTATGCCCTAAACTACTGCTTTTTCCTATTTTCTAGCTATGCTCTTTGATAGTTGATTCAAACTCTGACTGGACAATGTTTAGTATGTATTTAAAGTTTGTACTGTGTATTATACAAATTTTCTGATTTTTTTTTTAGCCTTGTTTTGCTTTTTTTTTAATTATATTATTCATCTCACTGCTGTTGATCGCCTGCAGCCTTTTTTGCAGCCATTTTCTGACCCATGCATTTGCTCCAGTGGCAGTTGCATGTTACTGCTCAGAATGGTCTTCCTGATGGTGACAATTGTGAAATATGATGTGGCTGCTTCCACTAGAAACTCATGAGAGGGGGAAAATGCAAGCAAGCAATTGGGAGACAGGGACAGAGTGTTATCTCCCTATCACAGGAACTTAACAAAGACCTTCATGGTAGGATCACCAGGTCAGTGGCGTATCATCTATGTGGGCAGAATGTGGGTTGTCGCACTCTGCCCACATAGAGTAAAAAAAAAATGTGCAAATAAGTCCATGTACAACATTTTCCTGGGCCCCAAGTGATGGTAATGTTGCTAACCTGCATGAGCTTTGGAACTTTTTTGTTTTACACACGCCGGCGGCCGTCCACATTTGCCGATGCTTAGATTATAGTTCCGGCAGTTGCCACCCACAGTCAGCTTCAGGTGCCTGGCGGATGGCATATGCATGTCTCCTCCACTGCAAAGTGCACTGAATCAGCTTCCCCCTCCTCAGCTCTGATGTTTTCCTATACACAGGCAGGAAAAGCCAGGGAGGTGGAAGGACACCACTGTGCATGTGCCCCACTGATCTGAGGACTGTAGTAAATACAGTATAGATGGAGTTGCTTGGGAGGGGGGACACAGTGACTGGTAAGGGGGGCAAGTTGGCAAAGATGTGAACTTGTAGTGATAAGGGGGGGGGGGGAGTGTAGGATGTTATGTGCATATGTGCTAGGAGTGCTTTGGGAAGGGATTGGATTTGTGCTGGAGGGGGGTTGGATTGAAATCCAACTAACCTCCCCCCCACCTTCAGCACAAGTCTTCTGCCTTCCAAAAGTGCCCTCGAAGCACTTTGCTGCCCCCAAGTCAAAGAAGCCAATTGCCACAGAAGGGTGCTGGGTGTCTGTGCTAGCACCCCCCCTGCCAGGAAATTTAGTAGAGCCAAGTGACAGAACTTGTTCTGACACTGAGATCCAGGGAAGAGGATTTGTGCTGGGGGGATTTAGAGAAGGGAGGTTTGGTGGAGGAATATTTGTACTGGAATGGGGGGGGGGTGTGCTGGGAAGGAGAATGCGGGGGAGGTGGAAGAGGATTTATTCTGAGAGGTGTATTGGGGGGGGGGGGGGGGTTGGGGGGGGAAGAAGGCTTTGTTCTGGGAAAGGAAAAGGATTTTCAATGTGAGAGAGAATTGAGGGGATGGGGATTTTGCTGGGAGTGGGTATTTTGGGAGGGTAGAGGAGGACTTCTGCTGAAAGAGTAACAAGTATTGCTTGCGTGGGGGGGGGGTGCACTCTCCTTACTCCTACACCCCTAATGCCTACACTATTTTTGTTTTGTACTCCAGACTCTTACCATGCATTTGAAAGTAGTCTAGAGAATCCTCTTGCGCTAAAAATGGTGAACGACTAATACAGCTGCCAACACTCTCCTACTAATACCTAGTGTAGTGTGCAAACATAAATAAATATATAGTGTGGCGCTCAAAATAAATAAATAAATATAAATAAGTGATCAATACATATACAAAATACCAAAATAAAGACTCCTTTATTTTCAAAGTGCAAAGTAACAAAACTCACATATCTCAGCAGTCCTCCCTCCTCACCGATGTGTGGGTACACTGCATGTGAATTGGGACTTCCTGGGTGTAGCAAGATGGCGTCGCACGCCGGAAGTGCGTCACCGCGCACCGGAAACTGCGGACTCGTAAACCTACGCGTTACGTCACTGACAACTCGTGACTTCCTCGGGGTTACACTTTGAAAATAAAGGAGTCTTTAATGCTACACTTAGAGGGTGTTTTCTTCTTTGGCTCACTGGATTGGTGAGCCATTGTTCTTCAGAGGCACCTTGGCTGAATAAGAGAAATAGGAGGCCCACCAGGAAACACAAAGAAGGAAGGAAAAGTTGTTGGCCCTTTTTGATTCTAGGATCCAGGTTGATCCTACAAGCCTGTTGGCCCTTAGGGGTCGCAGGGAGGAGGTGAGGAGGAAATTTAGCCACTGTTTGGAGAAGATTTTGGCACAAATCACTTATTGAGCATCACCGTATATTGCATGAATTGATTTATCACTTGAAGAACAGTATATATATTGATTTGTAGAAGGAACGGACATTTATTTATTCTTTTGCACTATTTTTTTTGGCACTTTTACACTTTTTAACAAGTTGGTACTACTTTTTTTGGTCACTTATATGTCAATTATAAGCATGTGATTTATATAAGCCACTTGTTTCATTTAAGAGTGTGATCACTTGAGTCATTTATTGATGCACGTATTTATTGATTATTTATTTGAGACACTTTAATCTTTTAGAGTGTGATCACTTGAGGTATTATTGTAATTATTTTTATTGATTATTTATTTATTTTAGCAGTCATTATTTTGGTATTTTGTATATGTATTGATCACTTATTTATATTTATTTATTTATTTTGAGCGCCACACTATATATTTATTTATCTTACCATGCATTACACACTCTTGTCCTCTGCATTCTGTGCATTTCACACGTCTGTCCCCTGCATTTTTTGTATTACATTCGCCTGATCTCTGCATACTGTGCATTATGTGCTCCTGGACCCTGCTTTGTGTGTGTCAGGTACTCCTAAACCCAGCACTGACTACAGCGCTCTGTGCTACTTCTCCTGCGTTATGTATTCTAAACCCAACGCTGTCTGCAGCACTCTGTGCATTGCAAATTCCCATCCCCTGTGCTTTGTCTTACATGCTCGTGCACTATATACAGTCTATTGTGCATTACATACTTCTCACCAAAGTGTTCATTATGTCAACAGTTGCTGGTTGCTATGCAGTCCCTGACTATTTTATTGAAGTTCTTTTTCACACAAATAGAACTTTCTTTTGGTGGTATTTGATCTCCACTGTTTTTTTTTTTTTTTTCTTTCTTTTTTGTTTATTGTGAATGTAAATACTGAAAATTTTGGGGGAAAAAAAACACAATATTTACTACTTTGTTATAAAACATATACAGTAAAATCAAATTTCAAAAATTTAGGCCAAAATGTATTCTGCTACATGTCTATGGCTAAAAAAAAAAGTGTATATTAATTGGTTTTTGTGAAAGCTATAGCATCTACAAGTTATGGTATATATGCTGGAATTTACACATTTATAGACACTATACTAGTAATGGTGCTGATCATCAACTTATTGTGTGATTGTGATAGTGTGGTGGGCAATGTGGCATTAACTGATGCTGGCTAGGAGGAATACTAACTGACACTGATGTCGCTAGTGACACTAATAGCCATCATGCTCAAAAAAAAATTAAAGGAACACTTTGAAAACACATCAGATCTTAAAGTAGAAAAATATCTTGCTGGATATATATACTGATATGGACTGGGTAATGTGTTAGGGAATGTAAGGATGCCCCATCGGTTAATGGAAATGAAAATTATCAACCTACAAAGGACTGAATTCAAAGACACCCCGAAAATCAAAGTGAAAAAATGAGGCAGCAGACTAATCCATTTTGCTGAAATTTCATTGCAGAAACTCAAAAAGGTACTCAATAGTTTGTATGGCCCCACGGGCTTGTATGCATGCCTGGCAACATCGGAGCATGCTCCTAATGAGACGACAGATGGTGTCCTTAGGTATTTCCTCCCAGATCTGGACCAGGGTATCACTGAGCCCCTGGACAGTCTGAGTTGTAACCTGGTGGTGTCGGATGGACTGAAACATGATATTCCAGAGGTGTGCTACTGGATTTAGGTCAGGCGAGCATGGGGGCCATTCAGTGGTATCAATTCCTTCATCCTCCAGGAACTGCCTGCATACTCTCGCCATATAATGCCGGGCATTGTCGTGCACCAGGAGGAACCCAGGACCCACTGCACCAGCATAGGGTCTGACAATGGCATCTCGATACCTAATGGCAGTCAGGGTGCTATTGTCTAGCCTGTTAGAGGTCTGTGCATCCCTCCATGGATATTCCTCCCCAGACCATCACTGACCCACCACCAAAATGGTCATGTTGAACAATGTCTCAGGCAGCATAACGTTCTTCACGGCTTCTCCAGACCCTTTCACATCTATCACATGTGCTCAGGGTGAACCTGCTCTTATCTGTGAAAAGCACAGGGTGCCAGAGGCGGACCTGCCATATCTGTTGTTCAAGGGCAAATGCCAATTGAGCTCTGTAATGCCGGGCAGTGAGCAGAGGGCCCACTAGAAAACATTGGGCCCTCAGACCACCCTCATGAAGTCTGTTTCTGATTGTTTGGTTAGAGACATTCATACAATGACCTGCTGGAGGTAATTTTGTAGGGCTCTGGCAGTACTCATCCTGTTTCTCCTTGCACAAAGGAGCAGATACCGGTCCTGCTGATGTGTTAAGGACCTTCCACGGCTCTGTCCAGCTCTCCTAGAGTAACTGCCTGTCTCCTGGAATCTCCTCCATGCTTTTGAGGATGTGCTGGGAGACACCGAAAACCTTCTGGCAATGGCACGTATTGATGTGCCATCCTGGAGGAGTTGGTCTGCCAGTGTAGGGTCTAGGTATTGCCTCATGCTACCAGTAGTGACACTGACCCTAGCCAAATGCAAAACTAGTGAGAAACAGTCATAAAAGATGAGTAGCGGAAAAAATGTCAGTGGACTCCACTGGTAAAACCATTCCTGTTTTGGGGATCATCTCACTGCTGCCCATCTAGTGTACCTGTTGTTAAATTCATTAACACCAAAGCAGGTGAAACTGATTAAAAA